TGGCCTGCCGGCGTGCATAAATGTTAAAGCGTGCCATCCCCCCTCTCTCTCTGTCTCTCTCTCTCTCTCTCTCTTGCTCTCTGTCTCTTTCTCGCGCGCGCTCTCTCGCTCTCTCTCTCTCTCTCTCGCGCTCTCTCTCTCTCTCTCCCCTGCGCGCGCTCTCTCTCGCGTTCTCGATCTCGCTGTCTCTCTCTCTCTCTCTTTCTCACTCACGCTCTCTTGCTATCTCGCGCTCATTCTCGCTCTCGTGCTATCTCTCTCTCTCTCTCGCTGTCTCTCTCGCTGTCTCTCTCTCACTCTCTCTCTCTCGCTGCAAGTGTTTGCACTACCCGAAAAACGGTGTTTGTAAAGGGCGGGAGCTCGTGAGGGCTCGAACGTCACACGCTTGACTGCTGCTACACGGGTGAAGGGAGGGAGTGAGGTGGTGGCAGCAAGGAGGGATGTATTTACGATCTGATAACAAAGCATTACGACTGAGCGCTGTTGCAGCCAAGCAACCCACCCCGCCACCCGACCGAACCTTGCTCCACCACTGCTAGCATCGTGTTTTGAGCGCTGTTGCAGCAATTCCCCCCACCCCACCCACCCCGCCACCCAATCGAACCTTGCTCCACCACTGCTAGCATCGTGTTTTACGTTGTTGGCCAGCGGGTGGGTGCATGGGGGTGTGGGTCTCCAGTCTCCACGAACCGTAAACCCTATCCTTGACTTGGTAGCCTTCTTTTGTTCGCAATACGCAAGCAAAATATTATTAAAGGGGGTGTAATTCATGTGGATTTCTTTGCACCAGCCACTTCCCATATATTAGGTGAGCAGAGGCAACGGTAACCTATTTACGGTTGTATATTAGACAGTCGTTGCCCGAGTTGTAAGGGCAACATAGAGTTGTGTGGACCGCAAAAAGAAATGTTGCCCTGAGATCGAGGGCATCATTGATTGTCGAGGTCCATCGAAATCTGCCATAAGGTCACTCTGTGTATGTGTCATGTATTGTATGTGTCAAGTGTAAGGTGTGGTGGCTTCGTCACCTGACTGACATCTCGCGTGCGTCGTTGTCACACTATATGGTCACTCTGTGTAGGTGTCATGAATGTGTCAACTGTTGTATGTGTCAAGTGTAAGGTGTGGTGGCTTCGTCACCTGACTGACATCTCGCGTGCGTCGTTGTCACACTATGGTCACTCTGTGTAGGTGTCATGAATGTGTCAACTGTTGTATGTGTCAAGTGTAAGGTGTGGTGGCTTCGTCACTGACATCTCGCGTCCACGGTTGTCACACTAAGGTCACTCTGTGTGTATGTGTCATGAATGTGTCAACTGTTGTATGTGTCAAGTGTAAGGTGTGGTGGCTTCGTCACCTGACTGACATCTCGCGTGCGTCGTTGTCACACTATGGTCACTCTGTGTAGGTGTCATGAATGTGTCAACTGTTGTATGTGTCAAGTGTAAGGTGTGGTGGCTTCGTCACCTGACTGACATCTCGCGTGCGTCGTTGTCACACTATGGTCACTCTGTGTAGGTGTCATGAATGTGTCAACTGTTGTATGTGTCAAGTGTAAGGTGTGGTGGCTTCGTCACTGACATCTCGCGTCCACGGTTGTCACACTAAGGTCACTCTGTGTGTATGTGTCATGATAAGGTGAGGATTCGATACTGACTGACGTGTGCGTCGCTTGGTCTGTGTTACAGATCAGCAGAGCAACGTGAGCAGGGATGAGGACGCGCACACCTACCCGCAAAATCGACGACACTGCCACCGCTCACAGGCCGTCGGTGCACAGCGCAGGGGTAAGACGTCACGTTTCTGTCACGCGGGGCAGCTCGGGGTGGTGGGTGTTTGTTGGTTGGTTGCGTCAGTCCGGTAGCGTCACCTTTGAGTGCTATGGTGTTGACGGCCACGCCGCGCACCTTCACACCTGCGCACACCCAACGTCACCCAAACACACCTGCCCACGCCTGATCACCCTCAGCCCTTACACCCCTTCTGCCCACCCTCCCAAATACCCCTGCCTACCCTCCCAAATACCCCTGCCTACCCTCCCAAATACCCCTGCCTACCCTCCCAAATACCTTTGTCTACCCTCCAGGAATACCCCTGCTACCCTCCAAATACGCACCTGCCTAGCGCCTCGCCAAATACCCCTGCCCATCCTCCCAAGTGACTCGTCCTGCCCACCGCTCACCATCAAATACTCCTGCCCACCCTCCGCTAAATACCCACTACCCTACCCTCACCGAAATACTCTGCCCACCCTCCGCAAATACCCCTGGCCTACTCCCCAAATGCCCACTCCTACCCTCCAAATACCCCTCGCCTACCCTCCAAATACCCCTGCCTACGCGCTCGCTAAATATACGCTGGCCTTCACCCTCGGCAAAAGTCCGGGTGCCTGCCCACCCTCGGCACGAAATACCTTTGTCTACCCTCCCAAATACTCTTGTCCATCAAGAGTGAATAGATGCAATGAGTAGATGCAATTTGTATGTTTGATAAGCTGCGGGTAGACCGCAAATAGGTGCCGTATGGTGGATCTGACGGCGACAATTGACAATTCGCGACACGACATTGGATGGGCAAAAAATGTTCCGTGGCAAAATATAACGGGGGAGGGGGGCGTGCGCCGACTGCATCCCTCCCCCTTGAATCCGAGTATGCTGGGGGTGGGGTCTTGTTTTTGTAGGGGTGTTTGTTTTCTCGGTTGGCGTGACTTGTCCCTGTGTCTGTGTGCGTGCGTGCGTGCGTGCGTGCCGTGGGGCGTGCGCCGCGTTGCGTGCGTGCGTGCGTGTAGCCGTTGTCAAATATTGGCTCCTGCATGCAGCCCTAGTTTACACAACACGGCCTCTATCTGAACGCGGATCTCTTTGCCTTGTCAAGGCGTGTTACGTACATGGATGTTTTTTTATAGATGTCTGCACTCTGCACCCAAGTTGATTTATTCGTCACATTTAATCATTCGTGGCGTGCGTGCGTGCGTGGCGTGTGTGTGTGTGTCGTGTGTGTGTGGTGTGTGCGTGTGCGTGTGCAGTGTGCGTGTGCGTGTGAGTGTGCGTGTGCGTGTGCTTTGTGTGTGTCTATTGTGTGTGATGCATTGCGCGTGCGTGTGTGGCGTCGTGTGTGTGTGTGTATGGTCTGTGTATGCATGCGTGCGTGCGGTGTGTGTATGCATGCGCGCGCGTGCGTGCGTGCGTCGTGTGTGTGTGTGTGTGTGTGTGTGTGATGTGTGTATGTCTGTGTATTGCGATGCGTGGTGTGCGTGTGTGAGCGTTGTGTTGTGTGTGTATGCATGCACGCACGTGTGTGCGTGCGTGTGTGTGGTGTGTGTGTGTGTGTGTGTGTGTGTGTGTGTGTGTAGCTATGGCATAGCGTGTGTGTGTGTGTTGTCTGGTGTATGCATCGTGTGTGGCGTGCGTGCGTGCTGTTGTGCGTGTGTGCGTGTATGTGTGTGTGTATGCATGCGTGCGCTCGTATGATGTCCTGTACCTATGACTGCGAACCACAGACTGTTGAGCTACAGGACAGAGGGCGATCTCCATGAAGGGAGCAAACAGTCACCACGTATACAATACATGCAGCAATGTACGTGGTGTATGCACCGGGTGCCGGCTAACGCTCCATTAGGAGTGTTCCCAACTTTGATATCATTAATGATTAATGAATAATGATTGATAATCCTAACCCTAACCCTAACCCTAACCTAAATGACATTAAACCACAAACTAATATATGACCATGACCATGACCATGACCATGACATGACCTTAACGTTGGGAACACTCCTAATGGAGTATCACCCCGGGTGGCGCTTCCCTAGGTGTGAAGTTGTGCCACGGATTGCCACATTTGACCACACAAGTATAAGCGCTTATTAAAAATACCAGTTTGTCAGACGGGGCGTCATAAAAGTAGGGTCGTGTGGTTGGTTTTCGGTACAGCGTAGTTTACAATCCGGTTTGCTGTGGAATAACGTGAGCTGCATGACAAACCTCCCCCCTTCCCTGTCGTCCCCCCCCCGCGCACGCGCAGTTTGGTCGACGCACGCAGGTGAAGTCTGCAGTGCATATAGGTGCCAACAACTAAATGAGATATGTGAAACTTTTCACCACATTTGAGATGATAATTCAATAAGGTGTGTCTTTAACGAAATTTAAATTTAAATAACGGGCAATTTAACTCTGTAGCAATAATAAGCTTACATCGTTAACGAGGTGAGAGTGAGATGTAAATGAGATGCAACTATCTCTAATGGCATCAATGCGAAGGTAATTGAAAATCCACCTGTCTTCAACAACACTGAGGGGTAGATCGATAGACGAGATACGCCGACTTGTAATTGAATTTGAGGGGAACTGTCATTGAGATATACATATATCTGTGTGATAGCCAGGAATTGTCAGCCATCATAGATGAGTGGACGCATGGATAGCAGCTTGTCAATGCAGCACGAGCGAAAGCAGATAAAACTAAATGTAAACATTGGTTTATGCACGTTCTAAACTACCGAACTTTCTCAATCGGCAGATAGCATTGATATTATTGATAAGTTATGATCACATGCTTCGGAGGTGGGGCAGCCGTGGACTGATTTATGGTGCGGGCCTTGAACACCGGTTACGAAATGGCTGCTGTTTCACCACGTGCTACTGCGACGTATAAAAAAAACACGCAGATCCATTTATTTGCGGAGGCGTGTTAGCTTTCTCACGTGCTTACGCCGAAACACATTACAAGGATATAACAAATGCCTACGGTTATTACAAGGTTAAGTGCCTACAGTTGGCCGTGTATCTATCTATATAGTAGGTGGTAACTACAAGACAGCTAACCTGCTGCCTATTTGCTGCTGCGAGTGCAAGGGTCAAACTTGTACGCGGGAGAGGAAACTGGAATGTTGCGCGATAAGAAGAGAAGAGGGGGAAGGGTGGTTGCAGTTACGGTCTGGAATGGGAAAGAAGAGGAAAGAGAAGAGAAAGAAAGAAAGAAAGAGTTGAGTAACGGAGAGAGAATTAGAGGGGAATCTAAAAAGATCGAGCTGGACAGGGGGGGGGGATAAGTGAGGTATGGATGGAAAGAGAGAGAGGGGGGGGGGAGATCGTAAGAAAGGAAGAAAATATTAAATTAAATTATCATGGGCTCATAGCAAAGCAAGCCAGAATTATCCTAACTCGAAAATATAGCATAAATAATTAAATATTATTATTTTATTATTTATTAATTTATTATTATTTAATTAATGAAGACTAATCCCACACATAAATCTTGACCTCGCGGTGGATATGCAGCGATATGTTAGACAGCAAACACACAGCAAGCGAACCGTGATCATTTAAAGTTCCTAACGTTGATGTCACTGTCAGTGACTATATACTCGACAATAAATATCAAAATTAATTGAAAATGAAAAGCGCCTTCGTGACAACCTTCCCCCACATTTCACTCTGCGTAACAGTCTTCTCTCGCTGTTCCTCCTTTTAGTGCCAGAGGTGTAGTTTAATGCACATCTGCCATTGTCTGCAGCGCCGGTGTTGACAGTTCCAAAGCTGTAGCAGCAGAGACGGCCTTCGAGCGTATCTGATTTATGAATTTGCCGTGAAGTTCGCGGGGCCCCATCGATGGCACGTCATCAATCCATCGCTTGTCTGTAGCATAGCCGTAGTGATAAACCGAACACTGCTCGTCTTTCTCCTCGCTGTATTTCTCCCGCGCGTGTCAATGTCACATCCTCTGTAGATTGATGAAAGAACACCGACCGATTGATCTGGCCCTGTGTGTGATCGTGACACGCGTTTCGAATCGAATAACTGATGATATCTCTGTGTGTGATTAATTGTTGGTGCGTGTGTGTGGGGGAGGGGGTGCGTGTGTGCGTGTGCGTGTGTGTGTGTGTGTGTGTGTGTGTGTGTGTGTGTGTGTGTGTTGAAGTTATGTTGTGCGTGTGTGAGTATGTGTGCGTGCGTGCCGACAGCAGCAGCGCGCGGCGCGGCAGGCGTGGCTGCGTGCGTGCGTGTGTGTGTGGTGTGTGTGTGTGTGTGTGTTGTGTGTGTGTGTGTGTGTGTGTGTGTGAGTGCGTGTGTGTGTCTGTGTGGCGTGCGTGCGTGCGTGTGCGTGCGTGCGTGCGTGTGTGTGATTGTGAATGCTAGGTGGCAGCAGCGATGAGAGTGGTGGGTCAGCTTCTGTCTGGGACTACTGACCCACCGACTACCGCATGACTACCTGAGGCGCCACCAGACCTACCTGACCCACCAGACCTACCTGACCACCAGACCGACTACCCTGACCACGCAGACCTACCTGACCCACCAGACCCACCAGACCTACCTGACCCACCAGACCTACCTGACCCACCAGACCTACCTGACCCACCAGACCTACCTGACCCACCAGACCTACCTTACCAGACTACGTCACAATTACCTATCAACATTACCTAATCAACCTAATCAACATTACACATCCTCAGACTACTCAGGCTATCGACCGGGAACTAGCACTTCGTTTTAAGCACCTTCAGCAAAGCCTGTTTTAGAAATGCTATAAATTATGTGTCATATCGTTTAGTTCGTTGTTGTTGTTGTTGTTGTTGTTGTTGTTGTTGTTGTTGTTGTTGTTGGGGTTAATTGGCTTCCTTTGTGTGAGACAACTGTGTGAGTGAGCGGTGTGCCCTCGGGGGGGGGGGCTACGCTCAGGAGGGCCGCTGTCAGAAACAATGTTAACTCGTTTCATGATTAGTTTTAACATGAAATCTTTCTTGTAGACAGAAATGTATTACATTTACTCGTGTTTGTTACGAGGAAATTTGAGAGGATGTTTCTCCGAGAGAAACCGGCGATGTTAAGACTAATTTTGTTTCTGAGAACGGGCCCCTGGTTTCGCAACTATCAACGATGTACGCAAAGAAATCTCGAACAGTTTGGACCTGTAAACATTGATGAAAACGTTAGTACCATACTGGGAGAACTGACTTGTGTCGCAGCGCAATAACGCTATAGGTTCCATTAATTTCTGCGCAATCTTCCGGCGAAATGCGGAGCTTTAAAGTGATTACGTCACCGTAAATATTAAAAAATTAAACAAATATTTCCACTTTTTCACGGGAAAATATAAGTAATTTCTGTTCACTTTTTATGGTTAAATTCTGGCCGTTATACTTCTTATTTTACTATAATTTTTTTTTTTTATTTTTTTTTTTTTTTTTTTTTTTTTTTTTTTTTTTTTTTTTTTTTTTTTTTTTATTGTTCGATTGTGAACATACAACCGTGACTGCATACACATAGCCCAATTAGCAAGTAATTAATGTCAGGAAGCACAATATCAAATCGTCCGCAGGTGTTTTGGATTTTAACGTAGTTGAGAAACAATCTTATCAAAGTAAAGAATTTGAGCGATACGTTAGTCCGCGTTAGTTCCTTACTTTTAATGTAAAAAAAATGGCAACAAAATTTTAACAAGATATTTAGCCAATAGAAAAAATTCGTAGGAACGTAGTCAAATTTAAAAGTTTGTATTTCTCTGTAGATGGAACTGACAGCAGAAGTTAGAGCAATGTTGATTACTATTGCGTCAATCAGTTCGTAA